TATTATCAAATGAATCACTCTTGTATATATCACCTGAATTCATTAATTTTAAGAGATCGTCATCTACAGTAAAATTATGGCAGCATTTTTCTTCACGTTTTAAACCGTATCTTATATATAAAATAGCGTTTAACGTTTTAACGCACATTGGATTTCTTTGCTTACAACTTGTTTACTTTTTGCACCTGAAAATTAGGCATATAGTAAAATCGGCTAAAAACGGCTAACTTTTTTTTACAAACCGGCTAACAAATCGGCTGCCGGCTAGATCGAATTTTCTCCGGCTAGTTGCTATCAAAACCGGCTAAATCTAGCCGGAAAACGGCTAAAATGGCAACGCTGGTGCCAGATAATGACCACAGAGCGCAAGCGATGAAGTATCTCTTGAGACAAGAGCAAGTGCAATGTTACAACAATTAGATTACGAATTTGGAAGAAGGTAGACGAGTTCCAGAAAAGAGTAAGATTGAATCGTTGAAACCTGTGATGACACATGGACTTCTCAGAGTGTACGGTCGATTAAAAAATTCAAATTCGGTTGAGAACATGCGACACTCAGTCATAGTTCCGGATGGTTCAAGATTAGCGTGGTTAATAATGGATCACGCACATACAGAAACAAAATACGGCGGGGTTCAGATCATGATGCAGTTTATTCGCCAGAATTATTGGGTTCCGCGCCTTCGTAGTGCACTGAGAAGCTATCTGCACAGATGTGTTATTTGCGTACGACATAATCATCGTACTGAGGTTCAAATGATGTCGGATCTACCTCCTGATCGAGTAAGAGCAGGTAATCCTTTTCTGCATTCAGGAGTGGATTATGCCGGGCCGATGGAGATTTAAATGATTTACAGGGATTGGAATCAGCTTATAAAACAGAAAGTGTGGATTGCTGTTTTTGTATGCCTCAAATCAAGAGCAGTTCACCTGCATGTGGTGACAGACTTAACGACAGTGGCTTTCATTACGTGTTATGAACAATTCGTGGCTCGCCGAGGTCGCTGCAAAAGAATCTATAGCGGCAACGGCATAGCATTTGTGGGTGCAGCGAATGAGATACGTTAGGCAACGGAGGTGTGGTACAAAAAGGAGGTATTTCAGCATTTGAGTGGTAAAGGTACGGAATGGCGATTTATGACCCCTGCAGCGCCACACCAGGGTGGAATTTACGAGGCTGCAGTAAAGTCGATGAAGCGTCATCTATTTCGAGCTGTTGGTTTGCGAGTACTGTCCTTTGAGCAACTATCAACTTTACTTACTCAAATCGAAGCGAAACTCAATTCGCGCCCTTTACATCAATTGAAAACCTGGCCATCTATTAATCGGAGAACCTCTTGTTCTTCCGCTACCGTTCGCAATTCCAGAGAGTTCAGCAGCTAAAGGCATTAACCAATGGAAAGAGAGACAGGCTATTATCAACGCGTTTTGGGTCAGATGGCATAACGAGTATTTGATAACACTACAGGAGCGCAAGAAGTGGCGACGAGAATCGGAGCGAGTGCGCTTAGGACAGTTGGTGCTAATTAAGAGTGAGAATTTTCCACTTGCGCAATGGGCTATAGGCCGTATAATAGAACTTCATCCCATTAGGGATAATTTGGTACGCTCAGTGGCAATTCAAACTGCGACGAACATTTTACACAGGCCAATACAAAAGATATGCATCCTGCCGATAAACACAGAAGAGAAATAGAATCTGAGAACTGGCCAAGGGGTTATAGCATTGGAAAAACTGATAGTTTTTCGGGGGGATTGTTAAGAATTGAGCGAATTTGGTGCGATGTGGCATCAACGAAATGTGCAAATAAATGAAGGTCGAGTAAAAGAAGAATGTAAGAAATAGAAATGTAAGAGTAGTAGTAATTTGAATTCAGCCAAATAAACATCGTTGGGTTTTTATACTATCTTTCCCAACGTAAAAAAAATGTATCTGAGTTTTAATTGAATAGTTCCTCTAAGAAGAAACATGCATTGTGAAGAGCAAACCGTATATACACGAAAATAATGCAGACTAAACGGCGAAGTCGATTTCTATTTGACAAACTATTTAACTCGACACAGGTGCTTCAAATCATACCTTCACCGATTCAAACACGAACCGGAACCCATATGCGACTTCCGCAGATGTAATAGAATACATATTTTTTGAGTGTATGCAGATGCAGATTTCGCAACATATCTGACGAGAGTTTGACGCCTGAGTCACTCGTGGAGGCTATGCTACAAAGCAGCGAAGAATGGTCGGCAGCATGTGACGCAATAGCAGAGGCGATGAAGAGGCTGAGGAACCCCGAATGACTAGGCATAGCAGCGGCGACTAACTACCTTTCGCCCTCACGATGTAGTGCTCGACGTCATCCCCTTGCTTTTCCTGGTTTTATAGGGACACTTGAGAGCCCATGAAAAAACTGTTAAAGTATAAACAGAACGAGTTCGCTGAGAAAATTTCGTCGGACGGAGCATTTCGCCAAGTAAAACTGAACTGGAAAACTTTAGTGCCACTATAAATATTGTGGAGCATTGCCCTTAATCCTTCTGCAATGATTGGGTCAAAATTACATCTTTAATTACAGGGATAGGTAATTTTAAATAAGCTGTGGCGTTGTCTATTCGTCAAAAACATAATCAGCTGTGGTTTTGCAAAATATAAAATATTTTTTTTTTTCATTTATTTGCTTTCTAGAAGGCAACATAGTTTTTCCATACACCCACAGTGTTTCTACGTCATTCTACCCAAATTATTATTTAGTAGTTAAGGACAACTTTGAACCGATAAGCATACAGCACTTGTCGATAAAGTTTCTGCATGTGATAAATAAAATATTAACTGAATTCAATCTTTTTTTCTTAAAATTTACTAATTTCTATAATTGGGTCAAAATGACCCCAAACATTAAAGGAAGGGGTAAATTCCAAACACTACAGAAGGGTTAAAAAATGCTGGTTTGAAAATAAGGAAAGGTCAGAAAAAAGCCACGAAGCTAAATCTTAATTTCAAAGCTAAACGACAAAGAAAAAACTAGATCTAGCCTCAAACAGGCTAAACTGGCAACGGTGCTTACCTGTCACACTGATGTTAATTCTGACTGCAATTTAATAGCAAATTCTTCTGAGAAGCGTTATACAAGGACAGGATTAATATCACCGATGACAGTTAAGTCTTAGGTGGAGTTTTATATCAGAATCACATTTTTGTGAAAAGTGCAGATAGGGGGTATTGAATATAAAAAATTGTAATATTCAATATTCATAAATGGGATTTTCGAATTTTAAAATGGGGGAAACAGGGCGTTTTTCAGAGTAAAATGGTATTTTGGGACCTTTGGAGTTGGCAACACTGCTTCTTATTCTGTCTTGCTTCGCCATCGTTTTTGTCTCAATATTTAATTAAAAAGCGTTAAATAACGTTTTTGGAAATTGTGGGTTTTATAAGGAGGAAGCTTCCTGATACCGCCCATCGCAGCCATTTTAAAATTAGTTTGAATCCCTCGGGTCCCGGTATTCCGCGACCATCTCTACTGCATATGTAGACTGCAAAACGGGATACAATTAATAAAATTATGTACATACATATTTACGAGCATACATATGTATGTACATTTGTATCCATATAATACATGCGTATGCAGTATTTATACAAGTTTGTTGCTGGAACGTTTGATTTATTACAATAATGATATGCAAAAGGTTTGCATATGTACAAGTCTGTGTTCATATGGAATAGTTGCTTACTGCTATACCTAAACAAAAGCGTCAGCGATGTCTGGTTGTCGAAAAATTCTCATGCCCATACAATTTGTATGAAGCAAACCGAAACAACGCGGCGTCAACGCTGAGCGCTTGGAAAATCCGATTTTGGCAGGGCGTTAGGTATTGAAGTCGGCTGCAGAAAACGGCGAAACTGGCGTTTTCGTGTTACACACAATCAAACCTATGCTTGTTGTTGGTGTTATTTCTGTATTTGACGTAGCGTTGACGCTTTTGTTAAGGTATGGCACTTCGGCGCTAACGCTAGGCGTCCGAAACCGCTCCGCCCAACGCTTTTGTTTAGGTATGGCAGTTATGCCGAAAGGCTGGCTTTAGTATAATGCGGCATTCGCAGCATACGATTGCGAATGACTCACTGGCGCCGAGCCGTGGAAGAAATTTTGGGCAAATAAACGTGCAAGAAATAGTTCCGGTACTTGCAAGTCAATATTCCAGAGACCCTAAATAACTGTTATGATATCTTTTGGAGGTGGAAAACGTTGGTCATAGGACAGTAAAAAATTTGTTTGTTGCTTTATAGGAGTTATTTCCAAAACTAAAATTTTTTCGTTGGTCATATCTTTTATTTTCAACTTTTTTGCTTTCACGTCATAACTTTTATTTGCGACGTTTTTTTTTTGCCTGATAAGAGTTATTCCTAAGACAAAATTGTTTCCATTGCCCATAATTTTTGTTTTCGACTTTTTTCTTTTTTCGTTGCATGATAAGAGTTATTCTCAATGAAATTTTTTTTGCGTTGCTCGTAACTTTTATTTTCGACTTTTGTTTCTTTACGTTGCTTAGTAATAGTTATTCTCAATGAAAATTTTTTTTCGTTGCTCGAAACTTTTATTTTGAAGGTTTTTTGGTTATGCGTTGTAGTAATGAAATATATATGAGGCATTTTTTTCGTATCAGACATCAAATTTGGTGGCACACTTTCGATTCGTTTCAAATATTTTTTTAATGGCTCTACACATGAAATAAGCGGTGGAGTGCAACAAGGCCCGCGGAAATAACGCCCATGGGCTTAATTTCCCAAAAAAAAACGAGAAATAAAACCCATCGGCGTAATTTCCATTTCGAAGGGGAAATACCGCCCATCAATAAAAGGCAATAATGCCCGCGGGCTTTAGTTCATTTGCGAAAGAGCAACTATGGCCGCGGGCTTTATTTCCAAAAGATAAGGAAATAACTTCCGCTATATTTATTTCATAAACAAGTAAATAAAGCCCGTGAGTAGTATTTTCTCTGGCTTTGTTTTACTGAAACATTCCAATTATGTATACAGGCATACATTTGCATAAAATGGAACTTGTTTTAAACGAAGTGCTCTATATTTTTGCATACAGTGTAGTTCTGCGTTAAATTCCCTTCTGCAGTATACACAAAAATAGAACGGTATTTTTCCAATAACTGATAAGCGAATTATTGGAAATTCAAGGTAAATTGTTACTGTTTTTTAGCCCTCAATCCGATACGCATATTTTTTCTCAGCGCCTTTGGTTTTTTAGTGGTGGCGCGCAAACGCTTGCCGCGCCGCGTCGAGTTGAGCGCCAACTGGCTCGCTTCTCCTCCCCCTCGCCATTACGCTAGAAATTTTAATTTTTTATATACTTACATTATATAAATGCTCTATATGAATGTACGATAAGGAGCTGGGGTTGTTTGTGTACCCACGCCGCACAGTGGGACGTCCCCACTGTGCGGCCAAAAGTAGTAACCGTACTAGAAATTCGTTGAAATTTCG